ATTCTTGAGCCGAAAACCTGCGAACACCGAGCCGTAATAAAAAAAGTTTTACTTAAATTTTCCGCATGCTGTTTATCAATGAAACTGTAATAAAAGGCAATTTAACCTCTCAAACAGTGCCAAAAATGCGAACGCGTGTTCTTTTCTTTGATTTAAAGTGACTTGATATTGTACAAGGCCAGAGAGGGCAACTTCTCAGCGAAAACACAGCACAACGAAGTTCTTTTTTTTTTTCAAAAAAAAAAAAAGCCATTAAGCCTGAGTTTTCTCAAACAAGTGAGCACATGGGAATCTTTTTCGTTTTTTCTGTCTTTCTTGTTGTTGTCGTTGTTGTTGCCATGGTTTGGGAGAGGTCTCTTTGGGTTTCAAAAGGTCGTTATTTATATGAGACTGGCGGTTTTCTTTTAATTCAAGTTGCTTTTAAAATTCTATTTCAGTTCTAATCTCGCGGTTGGTGCCTCTATCTTCTAGCGCTACTTGAAGAATGAAAACAACGGTTAAAGCAGTTTCACGAATCAAAAAACGAATACGTGTGATTCAAAAGTGATCATGTTTTTTTGTTATTATAAGAAATCCCATTGTTTTTCAGAAGAAAAATTCATTTATTTGCTTTGAAAAGCTGGATAAGTGCGTTCTGAAGGTTACAGTTACTCTAAACACATGCAAAACTCCAGGCTACAAGTATTAATGTGGAAATATTAAACATCTTATAAAACATCTTATAAAGATTTTTACTCTTTTTGCTCGTCCTGACCATATAATTGTTTGTCTGTAAGTGCTCAGTGTTAGATTTTTACTTTTGTACTAAAATGCTTAATGGGTTTGTAAATAGTGCAATGTATTTCGATTCATTACAGACTAAATGTATTTTTATCCTATCTTATTAATGCACCGCAAATAAAAAACACTTAGAGAAATGAATTGCTGCACACTATTTTTGCTTTGGAAAATGGAAAACGTCTTTATTACTAAGAGCCCTAAGACTGATAAACAATGAGAAACAGAAAGGTTTTTGACCGATGTTCAAATAAATAATGCCACAGAAACATTTTTGTTGTTTCCATGCCTACGTGGACCAGTAGGAAATTGTTAAAGCCGTAGGTAACAATCTTCTAAATGGAAAGTCATGTTATCTTTCTAACAGCTCCAAATACGAGAAATGGCTTAAGTCCTGACTTTTTATATACAATTACTGAAAATCAGTAACAAAATCATTCAAGAACAAAGAGGGGAAAAAGTGAACACGAAGGCTAACACTCCTTATTTAGAAGTAAGCGTAAGAAAAGATGGTTTTAAAGTGTAGACGGTCGATTTGGAAAAAGTGGCCAATCACGGGTTTTTTACGGTTTTCACTAATTTTGGAAGGGAAAATCAAATTTTTCATTTATCCCGGCCTCTACGAATCATAACTGGTTCGTCCTTTTCTCAGTCGGTGTTCTTTGCGGATCGGGAAAGGGGTCCAGCCGATGGCTCCACGACTTTTAGCTTTTCGTTTTACCTTTAGTTATATAAATGTTGTATCAGCAAAGCTCTTATTACCGGTATTTTTGTCCCCAATCAGGATTTTATGGCCTTCCTCAGAAATATTGTCAAATTTGTCGCTATGAAATTGCACTCAATACTTGAAATGGGCCATCCATCTTTTTCTGTTTTTCTTTTCGACAGTTTGTATTTCAGCTTTTTCTATTAATTGTGATTAATTTTTGCCCGATTGTGGCTATTTTTTGGCGAATGGCAATCCAATATGCATGGCGTATCCAAGATTGCGTATTCTCTAATGGCGGTCATCTGAAATCTGTAACGTGAATACAATCTAAATTATAGCTGAACAAATTTGAATGTGCAGTTTTACAAATCTTGTAAGAATTTGAATGTCCAACATTTGATTATCTTGAAAATGTGGAACATTGTCAGTACCCACTCCCCCCCCCACCCTCCCCCAACCACACACGCACTCAAGCTATAATGGCGGTAATTAGAAATCTTTAAATTCAATAAAATCTAAATTTTTGATGAACAAATTTGAATGGGAAATTTTAAAAATTTTGTAAGAAGTTGAATGTCCAACCTTTGATTTTTCTGAAAAATTGGAACATTTCCCGCCCCCCCCCCCCCCAGAATACCTCATAAAACCGAGTTCTATTCTTGCTGTCCTTTCTACGTTTTGCGCCAATTCTTTTGCCTATTAGGCCATTTTGTACCCACCACAAAAACTTCTAGGTCTTCTCGGTTAACTGCCCAGTTTTCTGGCAATTTTGTGCGGTAGAATTGACGTCATTTTTCACATACCGCAAATCTCTTCCAAATTTGGTCAGCTGTGTGTGGTTATGATGAATTATCCGCGGGATTTTAGCCAATCAGAAACTGAGAAATATTTTGAGTGAATAATAGTGTAAATTATAAACTTGCCTCGTCAGCTATGGCCATGAAAACACCAAACACTGTCCGTAATCGGCAGAAACTGTGACGATTCAAAAGACCAATGCACCGGTCATTAGGGTGGAACATAACCTGAATTTTTGTCTCCAGCCACAGCGAATAAAATGACTGCGAAGTAATTTAAGGCAAATTGGGTATTCTGGCAGAAGTATTGACGAGAACCAACTTGCCTAGCTTCCCTATGAACTTGCCATTGCCATGCTTTCTTAATTAAGTTGTCTCGGTGTCGAATCAAATATGATTATTACAACTGCTAAACTCATTAAGAATTAATTTTAACGGAGGTCCTCAAAGAACGAAAGCATAAACTCATGATGTAACACACTTTGCCCTTCGCTGCTGTGATGATGAATGGACTTTTTTCCTCTCCAATGCTGATCAAATCTAACACTTATTTCAACTTACCGTTATACCTCAAAACTTGAATTATGTAGAGGCTTCGAATTTCTTACAAGAAAGAATATTTTCCCCGGGAGGTTAAGGTTAAATTTAGTGTGTGTAATGTTTTTGATGAAATATTAATCGGACAATTTGTCTGCACATTAACAGCTGAAAACGTTGTACAGACAATTTGTCTGCGTGAAAAAAGAAAATAAAGAAAAAGAAGCTGTTAGAATTTTATTAGAGATTTGAACACTTTATGCAGAGAACAAATGGAGCGGGGTAAAATGCCCTCACTATCACGAATGACTTCATCGTTTATACGGTATAAAACATAAAGATAAAGTTTAAATTGCAATTTGAACGAATTCAGGTGTTGCCTAGTAATTGCTGCAAGGATTCCGCTGCATTTTTGCCTTAAGATGATTGAATGCCGGCGGCTTTCTTGAAAGTCAGAGCATAATGATTCACCGGTTGTTAGAAACTATGAACGCAATTCACAAAGCTGAATCTCCCAGCAGGTATTGGAAGTAGGTTAATTGTCTCTATATACGTACGAAGAGCTTGTAGGTACACACCTTCAAAACTCATCTAGCGTTCGAACTAAGTTGGATACCCGGCCAAAAACATTGAAAGACGAAAATTGGGCTTTTTTTCGACAGCTGGGAAAATGTCCACTCAGTCACGGTAGGTCTGATCTCAATTAATTAATAAAATGAATTAAGCTAATTAATTTGTTGTGTCTTCATGATCAGAGAAAGATTGAAATATCATTTTTTTTAATTATTATTTTTGCCTTAGTCGTACAAGGAGGCGGTGGATGACTCCACCAAAGGTTTTCCACGATTGATGCCGCATCATGTCCCACCCCTGTTAATATCATCTTGTAGATCTGTCTACAGTATTGTTTTAAAATTCTGATTTTCAGACAAACTTTGTTACGCAGCAGCCTGTAAGCAGTCGTCTCGGCACAGTTACAATTTCTCTTAAATGATTTCTTTCCTTGACAAGCCTTGAAGGAAACCAATATGATGAACTGTTATCCATGTCTCGTTACCATTAATCAAGCTGCAAATCATTTACTTCATACCCGAACCACTGTTTAGGTCGTGTGAAGTCAGTTTTCTAGTTTTTCAAATTAGGTGGCAGTGCATTCAACTACTGTTTGAGTAAGGTATCAATGGGCTCATCAGTTGAAAGACCTTGAAACAACATTTGCTGGTTAACTTTACAATGAGGTCAGATGGCCGTTCTCACAGTAGTTGTAAATACGCAAAAGCTTTGTAGTAGTTTCACTTGGCGCAACCTAGCAAAGCCGCGTAAGACAGCACTTGTGTTGAACTTTCATACAGTTTTCATTGCAAACAGTGAAAACGCGTTCAAGTTTTCAAGGTACATCCAGTGCTGTAGGTGTGTGTTTCAAATGTTTTTAAAATCTTCAGTAACCCTTTGTGTGTTTAAAGATGTGGTGAATGTCTTTCAAGTATTTAGTTTTTTCTACCCCCTTGGAAATAAGCATCTATAATACCTTTTCCTTTCGTGGACGATGACGGGTTTTCCCCCCTTTTTTCTGTGCACGCGGATCACGCAAGCAGGTCGACTTTAGATTTGTTGGCTTTTTATCAAGATTAACAAATGGGACCAACTTTAGAGATAATATAAAAACAAAATAGAAGAACCATTCGTAAAAGGATCTGCACGGTATGTTATTCACGCACGCACGTACTCACGCCTACGGCATTCAATTTGAACTCCCGTTAATCGGATTTCTTGAGATTCACCTGTAGCTACGTCTTAGCTACTTTTGTCACTTGTCTCTAATTATTCAACAAGGGTGGAGGTTGGAACATTTCTCGCTGCAATCGCAATACATCTCTCTCATTTTGTTACTTGTATGTTAGCGGCTTAAATAATCGGCCTACATTCTTTAAGACTTGTTGATAGAAGGATCTTCTTGTAGTTATCTTAAGATCTTATGATAGCAGCGGTGTCACTTTGAAGGCAACGTTTTTGTGTTTGTAATGATTTTTCATTCCAAAGGTAGCCCTTTAAATAATATTTTAAACCCAAATGCCTAAGCTTGCCTAGCAGTTGTCTACCTCAAAGAAAGCATAATTTAATAATTCTGGCGGAACCAGATGGCAGCTCGCGATGTCTGTTTTTGTAATAAAGGCTCACAAGGAAAGCTGGCTATAGTGTCAGATGATAATAACAAAAAGAACAATTTTAAAAATTCACAGTAATTAGTGTACCAAAATGCCAACAAAACACTGAAAACGGTGTGTGTTTCTTTGGCCTTTGGGTGGATGGTAGTCAACCATAAATACTCTGACTTTCAAAATGAAGTATTGCGATGTTGTTACTGCCTTTGCACAGTTGTGTCCTTCGTAGGGTTTTGATTGCCCACCGCCTGTTTACGGTTGCGCGTTTTATTGAAGAAGTATCACGCTATCCATAAAAGTATCACGCACATTTCAAGTAGTTTAAATTTATTTCCCATCTTCTTTGTACATATTTCCTTATGCCAAAAAGACAAAAGAACCTACCCTTAATTACGAAAGGGACGACCAATTAACAACGTGGAGAAAATGTTCACCTTGAATTCGAAAGTTGTTCAAGGGTCAAGTAAAATTCATTGCCAACATTCACAAAGTTACAGTTGAAATCGCTCGCAGCTCATCATGAAAAGCGTTTTATACCAAACTGCAAATACTGGAAATAGAGAAGCCGTGACTACTAAGCACTGAGGTCGAACTTTGCGAGGAATTTTTTAAACTCGAGTGGAGCTAATGAAAATCATCCAGCAGTGCGGTGTTACTGAAAGACGAAGCAATTTTGTAATTACACTCTTCGGTGATCCATTGTTAGAAGGGGACAGTTATTATCTTATAATAATACGTCACAGTTTTTTTTCATTTTAAGGGTAATAGTCATTTCAAAGTAATGTTTAAAATGCGATGGAAATATGCATATATTAAAAAAAAAATCTACGCATAAGGGCGGTCATAGGTACACCTGTGTTCTAATTTTACAGACATTTCAAATTCCATTCCAAGTGACCCTATGTTGCAAATCACCACTTAGTTGTCAATAGAAAATAGGGGGAAAACGTGCCCCTCTTCAAGAAGGCAAGTTAGAAATAAACGGCTATTGTAGTTGTGTAAATTGATTTTATCTTTATCTTTAAATCCCTCTAGAATGAGCAAAGATCTCAAGTTATGGCGGAGGGCGTAAGTGCCTCTCTTGTGTGATGGACAACTCGCTAATGCTAATACATGCCGGCATTGACCAAACAATTCTTCGTGCTCCTCACATGAATTTTTTTTGCTGAAAAGAATCAAAGGAAGCTTCCGCAAATGACTTATATGACGTGACCTAGCATTAATATTGCCTATAGTTAAAGAATCTTATCGTCATTCATAGCTTTGCTTTTAACTTGAGCGCCGAGTACGAATTGCATCTATCCATGATTGACGAAACAAAGGTCGCCGATTTTGAAAATCGTAACTACAATTCAGTCCTGTTTTAGAGTCGACATTTTGTTGTCTGTCAAGTTCAGTGTTCTTGAGTTTTCCTTTTCTTAGGCGATTTGAATACCTCAGATACACATTTTTTTTCAGATGTGCCATTTTTTTTGGACTACGTGTTCATGATCAGAATTTCCTGTGGTGGCTTTTTCTTTACAATCTTCTTAGTGTTAATGGAATACGTACATAACTAGGCGAGAGCTAGTTGACACCGGATGTCCAAAGAATCACAAACTGCCTAGAACAAACATAAAACACGTAAAGTACACTGTTCTGGGAAGGTTTGAACTAACCAAGACACCAATGACAAGATGGTAGGCAAACCTTGCAAACAACTTGACAAGGCAAATCAAAATACTCCCACATTGCTAACAATGACGTTACGATGCATCTCTTCAAAGAGACAACCCACGACGAATTATGAGCGACACTTCTCCTCCTCGTGTAGATGTTAACAAAACTAATAGGAAAGAGTATTTAACGCCTAATTATTGATGCAAAATTACTGCAAATATAGCCCTTGAGTGATAATTGGAAGTTGCAAATTAATTCTTTTAACGATCCGTGTGGGACACAAATCGGCCCATTAAGTTACTCATCCTTTTAACACTCAGACAATTGTTACCAGTTTTCTTTTGAAAATTCTGAGAAATAGCTCTCCCCCTGAAGCTTTCCACAGAATTTGTTTCCAGTCTGCAAACGATTGTCCCTGCTTTGTTTGTTCTTCAAAGGAAAATTGATCTGCGTATTCTTCATGTCTACCAGTTAAAGTTATCTTTGACCCATGAATGTCAAAATCCTACGATAGAAGAAACACTGCCAACTCAATGCTGATTCATAGTCTTTTCGAGAGTTCTTGGACGCGTCAGTTGGTTTTTCAGTTCTCCTCAATGTCGGTAGAATCAGGATCAGCCGAGGACGGTGTTCTAAAAGAATATATTTTACTCAATTGCCGGGTTATTCTCGCATGAGTTTTACGTGCCTTTCCTTCGATTCTTGCGCACCTTCGAAGCGCTTTTTTGTAGCTTTGTCGGAAATAGTCGTCAAGGGCACCGTACAAGTAGGGATTTAAACAGCTGTTGAGCCAGATGCAGAAATGAGAATACTTCATCATTATGGTGAAGTACGGATAGTTTGCTCCTGTTCCAAAATCGTACCAGAAAAACAGCACGTGATTTGGGAGGTAACACAGCGCAAAGCTCACGATCAGAACAATCAGTAAGCGAATAAACTTCTTGTGGTTTGCCTTGGTTCTGTCACTGGTCGACTTTCTGCCCTGGAGGCCTTCATCTCTGCGATTTAGAACAATAGCCATTTTACCATAGGCTATCCCAATTATGACTAAAGGGAGGAAATATTCTGCCACGAATAGATACAAAGTGTAACCTTCCCTTAGAATTGTGCCAGCCGGCTGGTCGCCCCAGAATTCTTCGCAGCTGAATTTGTTGTCTTCTCCAAGCACTTCTTTCTTCTGAACATCATTGACAATAATTTGCGGTAAAGCAGACACGAAAGCAAAAAGCCAAACCAGCAAAAGAAGTAGCTTGACCTTCTTCAGGGTCAATCTAGCCTTCATTGGATAAACAATGCCCATGAATCGTTGGAGTGTCAGGGAAGTAAGGCTGTAGATCGAAGCCCCCTGGCATACCAAACTCAGCGCCGGAATGAGTTTACAAACTGCGGTGGACCCAAAGAATCCAAACGGATATTTCCCCGTCTCGTAGTACAGTAATATAAACGGCGTACAGAACAAACCCACGGCCATATCAGCAATTGCCAAACTCATCAGGAAGAGTCCGTAATAGTAATTCCTTAAACTTCGTAACTTGCGATTTCTCCTCACTGCCAAGCACACGAGAATGTTTCCAGCTATGTTTAGAATCACAATAAGAACAGAGAGGACGAGTCGAACGACTAGCGAGGGAAAAGGCTCTGGGATTTCCCCCTTGGATGCCGCGGTTGTCGGAGTGGGTGTCTCTTCGTCCATAGAAGTCGACAGGAGTGTAATCACAGAGTTTGGCCACATTGTACTCGTAGCGGAAAGAGAAGGACTAGCTGAGGTCATGATGGGAACAAACTGAACGCGCTTGATTTACTCCGTTTGGTCTGGTTGCTATCGTTAAATAAATCTTGAAGCCAAGAACTAATTTTTCACGCGCAGCTGAACAAATTGGTGATGTCGAACTTTTTACCGTGAAATACGCTTTGAACTACTTTCCTGCATCTGTTTCAACACGATATGAGTGATATTAACTTCCACTCGGTGGCGAAATATGCCTCAATTGAGGAGCGCGCGATTTGATCGACTCACCCTTATCTGTCGAATCACGTCATTGTGCGTCGTGCTCACGATGTCGCGATTGATTGAAATAGTGAGACATGCGGGGCTTTCTGACATGACAGGTTTAGCCGCGATGACTGGATAAAAGGATAATTAACGGAAAGATCTACCGCAGTCCGAGAAATCCCTTTCTACAATGCCATGGCCGGAGATCCAATTTGTAGGTAGGAGTGAATTGTGAACGATGTTAGTATTTGTAATGAGAAACAAAAAATAAAAGTCAACAGTGTACATTTCTCTGAAAACAATTCTGCCTTTCCATTTCGATAAATTTAGATAGCAAATGTCTGCTGGATCGATGTGACTACCTTCTTGAAGATAAATACAGTGATTGGTAACTCATGGTAACTCCCTTAAATGCTCTTTGTACCTAATAATATTGATAATTTTCCCTCGTGGAGCAGGAGAAGCTTAAGTTCAGGGAAAAAGCTGAATGTTTTCTCAGCGTAGCTTATTTATAGTTAAGTATTCTAATCGTTTTCTCGTCTTTCACAAACAATACTTCAGTGCTCTCGTATGGAAATTTAACACGGTGTCTTCAGACTAAAGTGAGATAAGTTAATATATTTACAAAACAAATTTTAAGGGGCCGCATGAGATTCTCTTTCATCCGGTATTGTTGCGTCACTTTTTGAAGTAAGAAGTAAATGACAAACAGTGCGTTTTACCGAATTCCACATCGTGAATTTCCATGTACACGACGCGCGGTTCTTCAAACGTGTGTTAATTGCAGACATATTAGAACTTTCCGCTCATATTTGTTTTTTGTGTTAGTGTTTTATTTCGTAAGGGGAAAATCTTTCTTGGGGTAGCGTAGCAATTATCTCCAATTCTGTCACAACACACTTCAACGTACAATAAAATTTGAGATCAAGGCTTTGTTGAATATTATGAATAAATTGTAGGATTAAAGAGCAGCCCGTGAAGATTATTACTTTTAGTATTTGCATTTACAGATTAAGTGTTTTAGTGTAAAATATACATTTGAAATTAGTATGAGAATCAACGGTTTTTTGTTTAGTAAGTAGTTATGTTAAGTATGCAGCACTAAAAACGTTCCGCTCGGTCAATTTCCGGCAGATCTCCGGTCGAATTTGCTGCCTTTGGTTTTTAAAAAGTTAGAAATGGAAGGCATGTAATCTTCTCATCCTCGACTCGATCCCTTGATCATACATTTGCGGCGTAACTAAGTCACGTGGTTTCATAAGAAAACATTATTATCAAAACTTAATAACTGTCAGTGTTCTTTGAAGCAGAGGACATTTGCCATGTTCGGCTTCTGATTGTTATGTCATAGATTGCCTTCACCTTCGAAGAAGCCTTAAAGAAAAGAAAAAGTTGCGTTTTTGTTTCTCCCAAAATTTTAGTCTTAATGTATCAAATAAGAGCTCTGAGCATTTTGCAGCAAATTTAAACTTTATTTTCGCAGCAAATTAAATAGAGCCTACAATTAACAAATGGCGATTTCGTTGCCAACTATCACAATAATATCAGTTGCAAATGAGTTTTGAAATAATTACAGAGTTCATTTGTTCGCGTGTGTTTCGCCGATATCTCCTGCGGAACGCTATGAAACTTAAAATTACTTTTTCGCGATGACTGAAAATCGAGTTGATGAGAGTGATAATTGATCAAACGTTGGTCATTTGGTTAGTGACGATAAGTTTTGATCACAATGTTTTGCAAAAAAGTAAAATTGCAAGGTAATGAACACTGGGTGAAGACTGGGGTGTTGGTTACCACATTTAGTTGACGGTCTTCTTAAAGACTGTGGCCCCACACCAATACATTTTCGTTTGAAAACGCACACATTTCGATGCGTTTAGGCCTTTCGTACACATTAATACGCACGCTGAGCGTTTTCATCGAAAACGCGTCGATTTGAAAACCCTCTTGAAATGGATCATAACAAAAGCGCATACATCGCATATTAGTGTCGACGACGGTCGAAAACGGCCCGCGAAACTGATGCATCAAAAATGAAAACAATAACCGAAAATATCACAGGCGCGTGTTTTTGTAGCTTGCCAAGAGATCCGATTTCTTGAGCATGCGCATAGAGTTCAACTTACCCCACAACGTGCAACTCTATCGTGTGTGGACAGTCCAAAACGCATCAAAACCGGCAGTGTGAACGCGATTCGATCAATGAGTTTTCCGTGACATCGAAAGCTCATACTTTTGAAAACGCATTAGTGTGGACAGGGCCTAAGGGTGTGTGTACGTAAATAGAGGAAATGGTTTCAGCGCGCTAAATAATAAAGAAATGAAGACAAAGACAAAAGCTAGTACTAAATGCATGTATAGACATCATCTGTGCAAATTATCCATTCCGACTGTCCTCCTGAATCTTGAGCCAATTTTCACATGTACTTAGCTCCATCAGTGATACATTAAAATTTCTGTTATCATTTTTGAAGCACAATCACAAAGAAATGATTACTAGATGGGAACGGAGTAGGAATAGGGACTAGTAAAGAGACTGATCCGTGTCTCAACATTGATGCTTAAAAACTAGAGGTTCCTTCCCCTCTCCAGAGCTGACGACGCCATCAAATGATTTGGGCTACACAGATAACATAACATTACGTTAAACTGTCCTCATTTTCAGTTTTACCAGACTTTCTTCTCTGGCCACTGACAGGAGCCTATGTCTTAGTCTCCTGCCACTGACAAGAAACTGACAATCTGCTTCTTGAGAGTGGAGTAGAGCCCGCTTATCTCGTTTAACTGCGTCCAAGGAAATAATTATACTGTATCCTACATATATACTTTTCTGTCAGCTGTGTAGATTGTGAAGCTCGCTAAGGTTGCTTCGCAGCTTCTTTGTTTGACTCCGCATTCCTTTAAAATCTTCTTTTGTTTTGTCTATGAACTTTCTAATCTCTATTAAATCGTTCTCGCAAGCTGCCAGCTGATTTTCTACTGCCCTCTTTTCCTCGTCTACCGTTTTCAAAAGTTTTTCAGGAAGCTTTCCGCCCTCAAATTTCTTCACGGCGTCCATGAATTCCCGCGATCTGCTTCTTAGCAAAGGAGCAGGTTTCGAGGATCCCGAGTTCTTCCTGACGGGTATTTGAGAACTTTCCCGCGGGTTCTTTCTTGTAGCAATCATAGGGCTGCCTTTTGGACTTCCCTTAGGACTAGGATCTTTAGATGTTGTCGGTGAAGGGAGCTTTCGAGACTGATTAAAGAAACTCATGATTCTGGCCACGTTTCAAAACCGCTTGGTCAGGAATATTTCGCAATGAACTCCGCGTTGTGGTTGATTAAGTCTTCCGTTATCTTCCTCTGTCTCTGTTGACCAAAGAAAAATACCGGTAAGACGACTTATTCATATGTAAATGCATATCGAGAGCTCTTCAGACAAACGTAGAAGTTTTTCAGTTGGATTGCTTGGTCAAAGAACAGCGATAGTTTATAATAGGCATTGTCAAACAATAATGTTTACATGTAAGTTATCACGTTTATTATACACTTCGCATAATTGTCCTGAAGGAGTGCCTACCGTAGCTTTTTGAATAACTGAATCCTCTTTCAATCCGTTCCTCAAAAGTTGTCCACTCCTTCTAAAGTTGCCTTTCGCTTGTATGGGCATTTGCTCGCCGCTGCTCGTTTCCGCTCCGATAAAAGTTCCATACTTCACCGAGTATGGGATTTATAGACGGCATCTTAAACAATTCATATCATTTGTTTTTAGACGACACACATGATTGCTTATTAAGTAAGGTTTTAATTGAATGGATATATGTTTGCATTATAAGTATAGTAAGTAGTTGCTAAGAAGTTCAGGAATGGCCAACATTTGTCCTCAAAGCGGGCACACTAACGTTTTAATAAAAGCATCTCTGCAAAAAGGAACTAAGCTCGCTGGTTCGCTAGTTGCAAAAGGCAGGCGTATCTATATGGAGCAAAAAGAAAAGCGTAACCTCCACCGGACGCGTAATGCGCCTGTCACATTTCCGCCAAAATTGTGCATTGGATTTGTTTTCAGTTTCTTCTTAGGCTATGTTCTTACTCATGATACCGGATACTCGAAAATCTATTCGGTATTGTGTGAACACCTATATCCGATATGTGACTCTCTACTTTAGAGATCGGCGCGGCGCAGCTTGGCTCCGTTACATAAATCGCGCGGAAATATAATCACCGTTCGTATGTGTGAACAGTAGCCCGCCGGTATGGTTTTCATGTCGGCGCAAAAGCTTTCCGGTTTAGTATGAACATAGCCTGAGTATTACATTCTGATTAAGTTGTGATCATAAAAGGGCTGCAATAAAAGGGCATACTTACCACCACGTGTGGTGGTGGATGGAGCGAAGACACAGCCACACTAGCAAGCGCGAAAAGGTTTTTTGCGGACTCGAACATAGCTTGTCCCCGCTCATGTGGTTCCCTTTTCAGATTCTAAAGAACCCTCAGCATTTGCTTTCTTATCTGTAGAGTGTCCAGCGATTTTGTTACCTCTGCGTCCTGCGTCCCTGACGAATAAAAATCCCCAAAGACGCATAATAATTCATGGCATGTGTCCCGTAGAACGCAAAAATCGATCGATCTGAACTGAGATGTTTTTGTAGAATATCCTATTCTGTTTCTGTTATTGTGGTTGTTGTTTAACGATGCGTATTTATCTTAGTCTTTTCTTGATTTCAGTGAGCTGTACTAAAGAATTTGTAGTCTGTCTTAAGATTAACTGTCTGGTTACATAAAGGCCTAAACATTTTCAATTTAGGGCTCCTTGTTTTTTGAGTTGGGACTCGTGATTTTTCACAAGATGAGTCCCGGGACTCAAACTATTTGTAGCTAAATCACTGGGTATCTAATCAGTGTTTATCGATATGACGTACCGAAAGTTCTTAGCCTGCTTGACTCGCGCGTGCTCTACCAAGCGCTAGCAACAAGACGAAAGGACGGGAAAGATAGAACACACACAGCCTAAGCTCGAATATGCTGTTCCATAACCTTCCAAACATAAGGATTTGTATAGGAGAAAAACGATTGTTTCTGTAACCTACGAATGCATGTGCAGGGATTTAAATAAAAATCGGCTAACCTCACTTAAGGTATTTGTATCTTCTTTCCTGTGTGGTCACCGAGCCGGTTTCACTGTAGGTTTTGTTGAGCCGATTTGCTCAAAGGACAAGAGATATTAAACCGGTTACAGTAAAACCCTCATAAAATGGGTATAAATCAGCTCGGGGACCACACAGGAAAAAAGAAGCGCACAACTTTAATTTGGGAAGGTCAGTTGTTCTAAACAAACAAACATTTACCTTGTAAACAGAGTATGGATTCTGATGAATCAACGTACGGAAAGCATTGTATCCTATTACTTGGATTTTTATTTCAGTTGTATTGGTACGTGTGCGCGCGCTATTTAATTTTGGGCGCGTGCATTTTTTATTTATTTAAGTTGCGTGTACATTTAGTTCGTTTAATAACGTCTTAGTTTTGCTTTGCGTTATTTTCGTCACTTACATGTGTTGTCCGCGACTGTGCTCACACGGTGGGTGGCTCCTCCTAAAATGTTCTGCAATTGGTATAGGATTTAATGGAGCCGAAACCAATGGTGGAATTGCACGCATTTTAGGCATCCTACTGATGAACAGTCGGGACACGTAGATATATTTTTTAGCAACTACTATAATTTGCAGTCTGTCTACTTTGAATTGGGAAAGACCGCGGTCACCGGCCACGGCTAGGGGACCTGGTGCAAGTTGCGTTACAGATGGACCCATGGGGATTATGGGAACGTGAGTCACACAAACGGCGCGACGTTGCAATGGGGAAAAGTCACACTTCCAAAGGTTTGTGCACGAGAAACGTGTGGTAGCACTTATAACTCATAATTGCTTGACGTAGATCGGTACATTTGCATTGTAAGCGCAGTAAATTTCAATATGAGAGCTATTCGCGTATCATCTTTCGGTGGACCTGAAGTTTTGAAGCTTATTGGCGATGTCCCAGTTCCCATTGTTTCCAAAGGACAGGTGAGATTTTGGTAAGATGTTCATATAACCCCATACATTTATTATGCATACATTCTTAGACCTTATTTATATTGACTATGTGTGGGAAAAAGTATGAAATTGCTGCATGTATAATAAATGTAGGGGGTTACCGTATTATTTTCTCGAATATAGCCGTCCCTCGATTAATCCCCTTTCCTCGAATTCTTGTTTTGCAACCACATGACTAGGCGGCCATGTTGGGGGTCAAAACAATAGAATTTTTTCTCAAAGAATTTCCGTGAAAATAGAGTTTAGTTCCCTGAGGAGAGAAATGCTTTGTTCTTGATCACCAACATGGCCACCGTGACGTCACATGCAAACCGGCAATAATCGCCCCACTTTGACCATAATATTTAAAATACAGTAAAAACCCACATATAAGATCCTAAAATTTAAGAACCTGTTAGGCTAACATTTTCATTTAAAACCCCCTTTTGATAAGAACCTACCGTAAAATTCCGAAAATAAGCCCTGTGGCTTATATTTTTTAAAGGCCCTTTTTGAGGGGTTTATTTTTGGAGGGGCTTATCTACGGAGGGAAAGTTGCATTTCAAAATCAGTTGGGCTAGTCTTATAGTTGGAAGGAAATTTACCATTTTTGCTTTGTTTTACTTTGTATTTGAGGGCAATTTTCCAAGTACAAGCCCCCGGGGGGCTTATATTATTTTGGCGGGGCGATTTAACAGAGGGTTTTTTGCATTAGCGGTTTGGGGGGCTTATATTTGGAGGGGCTTATGCATGGAGAGGCTTATTTTTTGGAACTTAACGGTATTTAGCCTAAAATTTCCAATAGGTTCTTATTTTACAAAAATGAAGGCAGAGAAGAAAATACAACCAGAAAAAAGTTCAAGTCTAGGTTTCCCTCAGTAAGATTCAAAATATAACACAGCATTTTATGGACACTGCAGCATGAAAGACGTGCATTCTAGTACTTTGGAAGAATAAAATTACTGCATGGTTATCATCTAAACTGTATTCTAGACAGTTATTTAATTCAGCAACATATTCCATATCACATAGTAGTAGTTATCTGGGCTGATCACTGGTACCCCTATCAAATTAAGAACCTATTTAAGAACCTAAGTAGCCTAAAAGCCCACTAAATACCATTTCTCTAAGAACCTATTTAGGCTAAGTTGGAAAAATCTGGGTTCTTATATGTGGGTTTTTACTGTAGTCACTTCCCTCGAATAATGGCCTCCCCACCCTTCCCCTACAGCAGCATATCTGAAGTTTGAAGCTGAAGTCAGTGAAGTGGAGTCTGATCCAACAAAATTGATAAGAGACCAGATTCAAGCTCAGACGCCCAGGATATTGACATTGAAAATTAATTAAGGAACCAAATCTGGAACTCTTAAAAAGCCCATGTTCAGTTTATTTGATGTGATTATTTTCTTATTTAATGGGATGATAAAACAAAACATTTAAGGCATGACTTCCAGTGAACAATATTTGAAATAATCGCCTCCCTCGAATAATCGCCCCGTTCTAGCGCAAAAAAAATAACTGCCCACGACTATCAATCAAGGAAATATAGCATACGAAAATCTTACCTTGTCACACATTCTCAAAAGTAAAGGTTATCAGAAACACTGAGATTTATTTAGCCTCACCAATAAATTTGCACTGCAAACCATGTGTAGTGTGGTGGCTTCTAGTTTTGATTCTCCCACCCAATCCTGGGGTGATTTGAATTTGCAGAAGGAAGACTACATATTTTTCCAAGTCATCACAACTGAAGCTTAGGTTTAATAAAGTCAACTTGAACAGAAAAATAAAATTAAATTCAGTATTGCCAGCCAAAACTGAATCTTACAAAGTTTCTTACATTGTGCCAAAGCTTTCTGAAATTTTGTTGAAAGATTAAGTCAACACTTAATGTCCACTTTATCCGGATAAAGTGGTCCATATCCAGAGGTGGTCCCCTTTGACTGGTCTGTCTTGGCTGACCAAACCTTGATGTTCCATTGTCAAAAAATATTGTTCCCAATCCCACTTAGAAGTGAACAAAACACGGTTGAAATGCAAATGGAATGCTTTGTTCCAGTTGGAAATCTTGTTTAAAGTCAACAGTGTTGTTCCATTTTCCCTTGATTATATCCTCCCAGGTCTCTGATTTTATGGATCACTTATAAATTTAAATATGGTCCCTTGTCATGGAAAAGGGTGGCATTTTACATTGTTATATAGCTGGAAATTTTTTCCCAACAGGGCACACTCTCATTGGTTACTTGGAGGTCACATGACATCTAACAATGAAACTATTTCCCGCCAAAATCTCTGAGTTGGAAACATTGCAATATCTTTGACATCAGTGGGTAACACTGCACTATTACCTGTAAATGTTGACTGCTTACAACATTTATTTTCATAAATTTGTACACGAAAAAGTTTTTCTTTGTGGGCTGTATAACAATTGCCTCGAATAGATGGCGAAACATGGAGATTCTCGGGAACAAAATTAACTGTTTCTCTCAGGACCATTTATTAAGTGTTTAATGGTTACCTGGCATCACTGGTACACATTACTATTACCCATGGGTATGGTCAGTGGTCTTGGGACAACAAAATTTTGGAGGACAGATATAGTTACTGCACAAGGACACACTATGAACTCTTGGGATGTTTCATAGGTTAATGTCCTTTTCTGGGCAATCATTAGTATCATGTGCCAACTTTGGCACTTTAACTTATACAGTATTATGGACAGGGTCAGATGGGTCAGTGAGTTGCTTCACTAGTCTCAAGATATCAGATAGCTGCTAGCACTTTTTTTGTTCCCTGATAGGTATTGATCAAGTGGTTTTTAGTGCTCAAGTCTCTTAAAATATATTCATATTATTTCTGTAGGTACTGGTTAAGATAGGAGCAGCTGGTGTTAATCCTGTTGATACTTATATCAGAACTGGAACTTATGCAAGGAAGCCAACACTACCCTACACACCAGGTTCTGATGGAGCTGGGGTCATCCACAGTGTGGGTGAGGGTGTTAAACAAATTAAAGTAAGATCACTGAATGATATTTTTTGAAACCCCAATTCAGTCTTAAATACATTGAAGAATTAACATCAATCTTATTGTTTAACTGACTAGTTGGTCCTTCGTTTTGCTGAGACTTTCCTTTCAAGCCTTTCACCTGCTTCTTGCATGTAGCAGTTTGCTTTTTTGCCTCTGTCTTTCTTTTTTCTTATTACTCATTATCTTGTTGTTATTTTTATTTGGTTACAAGGCAAAGGTGGATAGATATTAAGCCAAAATTAAATCCATAATAATAATAATTGTAAAATTCATAGAATTAATATTAGTCCTATGGCAATGCTCTGCCAATTTAACAATTGTCCATCCGAATGGTAACTCCTTAGAATTTCTTCGAAAGATCAGTATTGTTAGACTGACAAAATCTCACCATAACTGGCTTTAAGGGAGAAATTACCACAAAGACGTGGGATTGTTTTGTGGTTTTGAAGGTGCAAATAAGTAAAGAATAAACAGCCTGCTTAGTTTTTATACTTTGCTCTATCCCTAGCTAGTGACCCCAAGAATTTCTTATCATTATGGTGGAAGGGCCTGTGGATACAACTGTATGGTTTCATCTGTTTTTTTTTTAAAGTATGCTATCAACTAGAAATTATTTTGTATTTCTTAAATCTTAGTTTAACAACGTCTGTTTTTTTCTTTTTGCTCATTTCTGCATCAGGAAGGTGACCGTGTGTTTGTAGGTGGGAGCATATCAGGGACATATGCTGAATATGCTTTGTGCAATGCCACCAGTGTTAATCACCTCCCTGAAAGCATTTCATTCAGTCAAGGAGCAGCCATTTACGTGCCTTATTATACAGCTTATAGGGCACTATTCCAGAGGTACAGTAAAAAAGATTTTAATTTTGCAACAGGGGTGCTTCGGTGTTACTATGGTGTTGGCAGCTCTCTCCATCCCTCAAAAAATACTTAAAATATTACTTGCAGTATTCTAATATAGAGAGCTGTAGATACAAAAGCTCTCAGCATAAATCTTTGTAATTGTATATTCGGTTGGTTTAACCCACTTATTTTCCCGCAACCTCACGCTTTGTACCCTCATGGAATTCCAGATTATGGTAGGGGCTGGACAGGTGGGGGAGATTCATAAGGGTTGTGAGAAGGAAAGTTTAACTGAAAAATGTAATCACTTAAATACCCTGCTTTTTTATTGCTGTCATAGTCAATGAAAATTGAAGTGAAGCAACACTTATTGGTGTTTATTTTCTTGTGTTAACTTAAGTTATCTTACCACAATAGTTATAATAATAATAATAGTATTATTATTATTAAATACAGGCTGCATGCCAAGGCAGGAGAAACAGTATTAATCCATGGAGCAAGTGGAGGGGTAAGTACATAATTTATGTCATAATAATTTATTATTATTCCGCTTATTTTTTGTGAGGTGAGGTTAATTTCAAGCTGGTCTTATTTGAGCAAGCTGAGAAGTAGGCAGGCTGACCTGAAGATCTTTCACTACACCGTAACATATTACATTATTTTGATGTTGATGTGTTTTTCCACAGACTAAAATGCACCTTCAAATATTTATGTATTCGTTGGAAAAGTGAGAAATAGTATCAGTGCCACTATAAAGCTTGATAGTATTCATTAACTGTATGTTATCAGACAAGCTATGCATAGGCTCGCCATTCCCTGGCACTGCACCCAAGCACCCTTTCCCCAGACGAACGAACAAACGAACGAACGAACAACTTTTTTAATGTGTCAATCTTTTTGCTTGCTACACGTAGGCTACTAATCGGGGACACCTAATTGACAAAATCTTATCAAGCTTAAATGTAAAAGCTTAAATCAAAAATTCCATTAATAGCATAAAAATATTAAATAATAATTAATTATTATAATAAAATAGTATACAATCTAATTAATCTAAAGTAAGTGAGAGTTTTAAATTAACAAACAGAGTCTCAAGTATTGCACATGAGAGTGTTTGCCATATTTCACAGTATTGAACCTAGGAATAAAAAAGTCTGGATTTCGTAGGTTGTGGCTAGACAATAATACGCTGAAACGATGGCTAATATTCCCAGTTATTAACTTAAATTTCACTGGTACATAAGGATTACAATATCCTGCAGGCGCCTGTTTTAAAGACTTGTCATTCGTGCACTTGTAAGTAGCTCGTTATATGAGCATATCCAGTCACAAAACACTGATCGTCACTTACATAGTATGTAAATCTGAAGGGGATGGTTTCTTCATCTATAGGTTGGCTTAGCAGCAGTGCAATTAGCAAGGGCTTATGGAATGAAAGTTATTGGTACCGCGGGAACAAGTGAGGGTGAAAATGCAGTAAAGAAGGCTGGAGCTTCGTTGGTGTTTAACCACCGACAGGATGGATACGTTCAAAACATTCTGGTACGGCTACTGTAAAGTGAACTGAGTGTTAAACTCAATAGAGCGCTATGTATAGTTGCACTAATTTTTCTGAAGTAATGTCTTTTTGGATTGACTGATTTTCATGTCAAACTAGGGTTTCACAGGAAATGGAGATTCCATGTCTTTTATTGGTTTTCCACTGTAGCGCACGACTGTAGTTGAAATAGGTGCTGCCACAGGTTCATACAAACTGAGACAACCTGTTGTATCTAAATGCAATATTGTTTACCGAGGCTGACTGATGCTAGTGTGGGAGAGGGTGTGATACTGTTGTAATGGTATTAGGGGCTTACATTACGCCTTCCAAAAGAAGGGGCAGACGTACTTGGAGATACAACTGTAAGTGAGTAAGTACGAACGTAGTACTAAAAAATGTAATTATTACATGTCTTTCTCTAATATGTACATTTTTAGGATGCAACAGATGGTCAAGGGGCAGATGTTATTGTGGAGATGTTGGCAAATGCCAGTCTTACTAAAGATCTTCAGCTTGCTGCTGTGAAAGGACGCATAGGGGTATGTTTTCATATGAAGTGTTATTAAGATCATTTGTAGTATGTCATCACGTAGGGGGTTGGTGTTACTATTTAAAACGCTGTTTATCACAGTTTGCGTCGTGCTTTATTTCAGAAGAAATCGCAGCAATACGTGACAGTTTTAAAAATTCTCTGCTTGCACTGAAAACTGGAAACGCTTCACCCGTGTGTACCCCCTATTGGCTCCGAAAACGCCTTTCCCTACCTTTGCCAGATTGGCCGTATCCGCTAATACACATTCCTAGTTTCTTGTGCTTTCTTGGCTGCTGCTTTTAAGCTACGGTATTTTTTGTTCATTTAGCCTTGCCTTTCTTCAGGTTGTAGGCAACAGAGGAACAATTGAAATTAATCCAAGAGAAACCATGGCTAAGGAATCTAGTATCATTGGTGTTATGCTGGGTCATGCTACTGAGGTAACATGAAGTCACTCTTTTCCGTTACCAGTTGAAATTAAACCTGTGTAACACTGTGTGATTTTTTGGAAGAATAGGAGGCATGTGCCTTCACTTTATTGACTTCAGTCACTCCGTTTTGCTCTCTTACTTGATTGATTGATCACCTGATTTTTTGACATACGGAATCAAACTGTGTCACAACGTGAGGCAAGAGACCACCAAACTTACTAGGCTAAGTAGTCGCTTGTGAGACGATCCAACTACAACGTACGAGACATTCCACTAGGAACACTAAACCTGGTATTTCTAATGTATAGTTACATTTGGTGGTTCCACTGTATTAAAATAATGCGGATTTTCTTCTACTGTTCGCTTCAGACTGGATTTTTGCAACGCGTACCTCTTATTGGTCCGAGACTACTATTTTGAATCTTGATGATAACATTTGAGTTCTTTATCTCTGTTAAAGGAAGAGAAGCAAGAAATGACAGCTGCTATTGAGGCAGGACTGCAGGCAGGATTTTTGACTCCAATAGTTGGACGGGAGTTCCAATTGAGCCAAGCTGCGGATTCACACAGAGATATCATAGAAAGCCAAGGGGCAAAAGGGAAACTGGTCTTGATACCTTGATAGATAAGTACCTTCCAGAGACAGAGTTCACTGGTTAATGATTCCTCGTTAGTTTTTTAAATGGTAATATGACCACAATCAAATTGCGTGCAAGGCTGGCAATACGGCAACAGAGTTTTAGCATCGGCGCGCGACGAGAAGGCGTCATTTTATTCATTTTTCTGACGAAGATATGGTGTTAAAGCACAGTGTGTGGTTCCTTACAGTATCTAATTGTAGGTAAAGAATTTCAGGTAGAGTTATGATCATTACGTTACACACGTAACTGTTTTCACGTATGTAATTGCCTGTATGTTATTTTGAAATAGTATGAACTAATTTGATAACTGTCAAACAGTGACCTACCATACCATGTATGTGTAATTTGAGACAGGATATGTTCTTACATGCCGTTTATTCATGGTACCTCAACGTATTGAATCACGACCTAGACCGAGAAAACAGCGGACATTTTGCGACGCCACCACTGGTTTCCCAGCGAAATAACGTCTGATGAACGAGTGCAGAAATTCCCTACTGTTGACGTGTCACTACCCAGATCTGGCTTGTGCTTTTGATTGGTTGAAACAGTTAATTTTTCCCTTGCGGCACCACCAATCATAAGCGCTACCCAGATCTGGGTAGTGACACTTCATCAGTATGGAATTTCTCCAGTCGTTCCTCAGGCGTCATTTCGCGGAAAAACTGATGGTGGCGTCGCGAAAATGTCTGCCGTTTTCTCAGGCTATGAATTACCCACCAATGCCTTTTACCTAGTAACAATAGTGATAAATATTTTGAAAAAAGCTAATGATCAAGGTATAATTATATTGGTTGTTTCATTTTCTTCAATCATTCACGCTTTTGTGTTCTCATTTGTTGGTTGCTTCTTTTGTCCACACTCGTTCTTCCTTTATAGGGAGATTTGTAATCTTCGAACTTAAGTACGTGTTCATCGCAAACATTTTGAAGTTTAGAAATGACATCATTAGAGAGATTTGGAATCACATTTACGGTAAACGGCGATGGTGATACTATCCACGTACAGTAGAACAACAGAGAAAAATAGCCTATAGGTTAGATGCAATGAAATTACAACAAAGTACAAGAATAGACAATCTTTATTTATACTGGGTGGCCCAGATATTATGTCTAGAGCCGAAATTCATTGGGGCCTTGTTAAGATAGCCAAGACTGTTAAACAAATATATGTACAGCTTTGCTGATACAATACAAAAATAAAAACAACAGCCAAATCCAATCTCTTAAACTTAATACTTTTGAAGCCCAGTAGATAAACAACATTCCCACTTCTTTTGGTGAGAGCGCTGAACGTGTGGTTTCATCTAACTCAGTTTTCACACCACTTCTACTTAAAGTAGAGGTCCTGCTTGAGGGAACCAGAAGCAAAAAAAAGTACAAAAAATAACCACCATCTGATCCATTACAAAACATGGCCACTTGAGGCTAGAACCTGGTCATCATTTAATTGGAAGAATCTGGATCAGAAATTCAGCACTGATAATTATACTCATTATGGCAAAAACTAATTGATCCATAACAAAACATGACCAGTAAAAACTAGAACATGGTCATCGTTTAATTGGAACAATCTGGATCGGAAATTTAGCACTGATAATTATACTATTATGGCAACCACTAATTGATCCATTACAAAACATGACCAGAACATTTACATGGATTTCCAATATTCTGCAACCATATTTGAAGACAAGAAGACCCTGGAAACGAGGTTGAGTATGTCCAGCATGTGATATCTCTGAAGGTGAATTTTAATGTCTTTGATCTCTGTAGTATTTCTGTATAATTAAAGCAACATCACTATAGTTTACATTTGGGCTTCTTAAAGCATTTACAAGTTCAGCAACAGTTCTACTTCGAGTACCAAGGAGCCTAAGCAATTCTCTAGTAGGACTTCCTCCAAGACTCCTGAATTCGTTTTCCAAATTTTTAAGAACATCTTGGTCAATTTGAAATTCTATACCAACTTTTTCCCAGCCGGGTAATCTTTCTCCATTGCGGCGATAATCAAGTTTTAGAGCAATTTTACCCTCAAGGTCCAAGGGTATATCCCCCAGATTGAACTCTGAAATAAAATGCATATTTCATTTAACAAAGATTATATCAATGCATCGTGGACATTAATTTCTCTTGCAAACTAAGTTCCATTACTATAAACTGCTAGATACACAACATAATAGGTACAGCGTGCTACCTAAGTTATCATATTGATGTTAATACTGATATTAATGATGTCTAGTTTGAGAATTACACACGTCGAGCAAAAACATGTTCATTAGTAACAATTTAAAGTAACAATTTAAAGTGGACGTTTCAGATTGGGATGTGAATGGTTGCTTAGGGATGCACCCCAAAGAAAAAAATCAACAACTCTTTTCTTACCTTCGAGGCTAGCAGTATCTGAATCTACTTCAGCCATACCGTCACCGACAGGAGCGACTTGATAAAAGTCACTGACTGATTTCAAAGAAACAAGAACATTGTATGAGGACAGCTAAAAAACACTGCAGATTCTTTTTTTTGTTAACCCATTTCAGCAATGAACAGGGGTTAAATCATTTGAACTTTGTGTTTCTATAGAAGCTGCGTGGCTGTTGTTCTTTACATTGAAAATTTAGCTGCTTAATGTAAACCTCCTCCACCCTAAACCATAGTTAATCCGGTATGTTTTACTTAAGAGTGACCTGTTCATGATTGCCTGGTCTCCTTTAAAGCAGCATGACAGGGTTAACTCCTATAACAACTTTTGAACAAATATATCAGTTCTGGACCAAAGAATTAATGTCAACGCTTTTTTCCTACCAGTAGATTGCTAAAACTGTGCTATAAATTTGGTTCTCATTATTTTTCTAATTAATTTACTTAAGTTATTAATAACATTGATATTCCTTAATCCATTTAATTATTTAGCCATGACATTTAAATAAGCAGTTTTTGAGATATTTACTAGGATTCCATTTTTTAAAAAAGATAATATGAATCAAACGAGTTTGTAACTTAAAGTTTGTCAGTGTTATCTTTCAGAAACAAGAAAGAGCAATCTCAGAGAGAATAATCTAGGATATTTTCTTTTGTCAGGGAAAAATTGTTACAGTCGTTGTTTACAATGTACTAAATGTGATGATTGAAATAAACTATTTATGTTACCAGAAACTGGCCTTTCAGTTTAGGTTAAAAATTATTTTAATCAGTAATTTTTGGAATTTAAAGTAAATATGATTATTAATTATAGTTCTCTTAAAGACTTTACTTCGCCCATCATTTTTTAAACACAATACTATAAACTTTGCAGGTGCAGCAGATTTCAGATTTCAAGAAAGATCCCCCAACAAATTATTTTAACTGATACCTACAACAGTTAAACAACAATCAATGGTGCATTTGACTAAATGTTATGATCTAGAATTTTCCGTAAATTAGACCTTCTTTATTTTACAGAGAATAAACTATAATTTGTGAGCTGATTAGGTATCTATTCCTTGTATATAAATCATTAGAAGGTTGTAGGTAAGGTTTCATTGATGTATGAAAACATGTAAAAGAGATGTAAAGTATGATTCAGTAATAATAATAATCAAATTACAATTCGAAGGTTTGAAAAATCTGACTGTTGATTCATATCTTCGTTTTGAAAACGTTATACATCGAAATCGTTACAGTCTTTTTTTTAAAATCAAATACAAGTTAGTCTAGTGGGCTGAATGTACTGGTCAAGATAATGTTACTTATAATAAGTATTGTAGTATCCTTACCTAATTCTGAAATTGACTTATAATTTTAAAAGTGTTTCTTGTTGTTGTTTTAAATATTGGAGTGACTAGAGCGATTTTTAATTGCTCTAAGAAATGACTGGTGAAATTTGCAAGTTAGAGGTTAAACCATGTAAACACATATTTTTTATTTTCTTTTCAACTTTCCCTCCTGTTTGTCTCTTAGTTATTCTCATGGGTAGGGAAATATATTTCTCCTTTTTAGTGAAATGATTTTAATTATAATTCTTACCTGATGGAAGTTTTGAGTAGTTTATTTTTGGTGAGTATCCTTCACTTTTGAAACAGTTGAGACAAAATGAAATTTTACAACCACTTCTTTGGAGCTGTCCAGGTTGTGTTCTCCAACAAATACACGTGACAATCACTGCGATGAAAAGTAGAACAAGAGCTACTATGACTCCAATGGCAATCAAAATAATCAGCAATTTCTTAATATCCGTGAAATAGCTTGAATTTAGTGGCTTTGTTGGCTGTGTATTCTTTTGCTCAGAGGCAGTGCCTACATTTTCATCTCTGGGTTTAGTAACAGGTAAGCTCGAATTGGATTGGTAAGGACCATGACCGTGAAATGTTTCTGCAATGATGGGTTTTGAGTTGTCAGTCTGGAATCTGACACCTAATGCTTCCTTCGCAGGTTTATTGATGGAAATATCTTCTTTCAGAAGTGTTCCATTGTCCTTTTGTTGTACTCCTGATTTTCCTGTAAGGGACATTGTGTCCTCTGAGGGTGTAGAGTAGATATCTTGATGTGCCATTCTTATGTGCCTTTTTCTACCAGCTGAAGTGGTCAGTGTGTACATGATGTTTACCAAGTTTTGACCAGGGGTTGGTTTATTTTGGATGTGTTGGAGGCAACTTGTTATTCTACACTGCTTTAAATAATAGCATTCTAACTGGGCAGATCGTCTTCCCCCACAACAGCTGGAACATTTCTTGCAGGAATCGACGGACCAGTTAGCCTGGTAGAACCCCCGAGGGCAGTCTCCACATTGGGTGTCTCGCTCCGGTGTGCAGGGCTTGATGGTATTTCTTGGACTACAACTCTGACATTGCTTGCATGCACTATGGCCAACTTCTTCCGAAACTGTTTCGGAAGAAATGCAGGCTGTGCAGAAAATAGGAGTTTCTGGGAATATAGCACTCCCACAGGGTGGTGTAAGCTCTTGTCCGACAGGACATTCTGGACAAATTTTGCACTTGTCGGTGATATTTCTCTTATTCAGAAGCCTATATGATGATGGTGGACATTGAATGAAACCATCAGGAAATTCATCGTTTTCTTGAGGCAGTTTCCACAGGCACCATAGCTATACACATAGAAAATATAAGAAATTCAACGGTTGATTTTACTAGTTTTACATTACGCAATACGTCCTATTTAAATTTTGTTTTTTTTTCTTTTGGTGTGTATGTTTTCTTATTTGGGTTGCAATTTAAAATCTATGCACATAGATATATTTGTCCAATTAGTTGTTTTTGGCAATTGCTCTGGTGGCAAGAAATCTGATGTATGTTTCTAATTAAAAATGATCCATTATAAATTAAAGGGATAATAAAGTCTCAATTGTCCTTTAATGATTCTGCTCCTTAAGTGTGCATTTTCAGTATTTTCTGTGAGTAAACGTTTTCAGGATATCATGATCTGTTGTGTTAAAGCTTTTCATGGAGGAATTTAAAAACCGATGTGACAGAATGTCTTAGTTAAAGTTTATTTTAAGCTTTTATTTTAAGGAATTAATAAAGGTTAAAAATATCTACAGTAGAAAAGACTAGAAGTATTTGTGCGTTAGAATTTTCTTTATTTAGCCGAAGTACTTCTCCTAGGAAGGAATCTTCGCTTGATGACTCTGGTTTATAAAATATAAATTCAAGAATTACAATACTATTATACTCGTGGTTAAAATTCTTAAAAACCTTAAACTAATCGTTGCATTTTTACGGCCGAAGTAGATATGCAACAAAAGTGTATCGGTACTATATAAACTCTTGTAAACTGTCATATTTTATACGAACTAGGACAAAAATACTTACAAATCCAATGAAGGCCACCACTATAACAAACGTTTGAATCGTTGACAGGAATCTAGATAAGCTAATTCTTGGTGTCTCAAATTGATGAAATGGTCGATTTACGTCAGCAGGCTTTGCCTAAAGAAGTCAAAAGCATTTAAAGTTAGCATTTTATACAAGTGCAGGGACATAACATTCGCACATAGTAAAGGTGTCTCCAGATACTTATAATAGAGAAGCCATTAAAGTCAAAGAAAATATTACGCAACTTTAGTTATATAATTTTACTACATATGGTTTCCTAAGTAAGGCTTGTCTTGTGTGACCATCTCGTGAGACACGATATTGATCAATTGAAAGTCTTCAAGCAAAACATTTTGCTTGACTTAAGCTAAGCATTTTTTGTGGAAGCAAATTCCCTTGTTAGTCTCTAATAAAGAAAAATTATGCAGTGGTACATGTCAAAACAATTAGAAATATTGCATGCTCATTAAGTAATCTAAATTGTGCAATATGACGCTACAGTATTTTCAGACAACAAAACTCATATTCAATATGATTATTATTCAAAATATTTTGTAATGTTATTTTTGTTATACGGAAATGGTAACTTTTCTCCGTCGCTATCTTTGACGCTTGTGGTGCTTCGATTGAGGGTAGCCGGCGGCTAGCGTATTTGAGGTACGAGGGTACAAAGCTCATCTCTCTGGATAACATATGTTTCCGGCATGTATGGTAATTTGAGTAGCTGTAATTTTTTCCTACGGAGATACTAATATTTATACTAAAGCAATTAGCGAAAACTCTCATTGATCCACTAATCACTATCAGCAAACATTGCATTAACTCAATAAATGCGATCTATCCGTGTTATTTAGCCCTATATTATGCGTACGAAAATATCATGTTTCCATTCTTGGATTCTCGTCTGTCGCAAAATTATGTTGTATATAGTGACTACTATTTCGACTGACGCCTTGTTTGCAAAGTTTTTGTTTGAACTGTTTGGTCCTTAACACCTCGCTAAGAATTATCTCACTCACGAAGGTTGCAGTTAACACTATATTACCTTGAAATGCCTTCCCATTTTGGTTTTTCGAGGTGAATGTTTCAGTAATACTCAAGTTGAGGAACCGGTCGATTGTAAATATTTTGGTCACGTGAATTATCTGTCAGTAGTTTCCAGTTCCCAACACGGCCAGGCTGATAAGCGGGGAATCCCCACGGAAGTCATTTAAGGCGAACTTTTCTTCAATACTAGTAGCTATATACTAGAAGTTTCCTTCCATGTCAAAGTGAGCGCTGGCCAGGGGAAAGCGATCAGTTTTGGTGTAGGGGAATTCGAAAATACGTAGAATATATATATATATATTTTTTTTTCCACAGCTTTATTCGGGTACTCCTCTTGTAATATGCAACATAAATTTATAATACAACACGAAAGAAAATAAAAAAGAAGCAACAAGAAGCAAGGTAGGTGCAACGAGACTAACGTCCCATGCGAGGCACCGCTCCTAGATTAAGACCAAGGTTAAAATAAAATAAAATGAATACTCATTCGTACAAAAAATAAAATAAATTACGAGTGGCATGGGCACTTAGGGACAAGTGTCCACGTGCAGGGGTAATTGATTATTAATTAGCGAGGAAAAACTGGTTGGGGACGCTAGCTTACAAACATAGTTCCATAGTTTGACGATACGGTTAAAGTATGAGGCCTGAAAAGTTGATGTTTTGCGAAAGGGGGTGCGAAGATTAAAGGAGTTACCTAGTCTTGTACGATCATGGGAAACAAAAGATACATAATTCCGCACATCTAAATCGGTACTACAGTAAAGGCATTTATAAAAAAAGCCTTAAGTTCACGATGTAGAGAAAGTGGAAGTAAGTCTAGCAAAGTCAGCCGCTCTTTGTACGACGACTCGTCTCTGCGCGTGCGTAAAATCCACCTGCTTGCACGTCTCTGCACCTGTTCCACCTTAGCATTCAGAGTAACGTAAGCGGGCGACCAGACTTGGGTGGCGTAACACAGCTGTGACTTGACCAAAGACAAATAAAGTGAGCGCCTAGCAGAGACGCCAGTTAGCAGGGGACAAGTCCGTTTAAGCAAACCAAGAAGCTTGTTTGCTTTCGCAGTGATAGTGTGGATTTGTGAGTTTTAAGAGAGCGTACTAGTTATGATGACGCCAGGATCTTTTTCTTAAGATCGATTCAAGAGCTCAAGGGTTGTGTCTTATTATATTAAAAAGTTCGGGCTCGTGCTTGGAGGGTGGAAATGATGGGAGCTGTGTGATTCCTCATTAACGTCATTTCAAGTATTGCCGACACTAAGATTGTGGTGTCTTTAAGGCGTATTATAATAAGATTTCTTCAAGTATCCTGGCCTAAGATCTCTTGAACATCCCCCCACAAACACTCTGTAATTGAGAGTAAACAAAATTTTTAAAAAACTGAATTGCCACTGAGATACGGATTGCCATAGAAACGCCATTTAATAAACATGAAGGATAAATCTGTGGCAGAGAAGCGTTCCTTGTTTAGGCAGTATATAATTTTTTTTGTCTTTTTATGTACGTTCTTATTTGTGTCGTGACCCTCCTGCGTATGCGTCATTTATGCAGTAGAATTTAATTCAAGTAGCTTTGTTGTCACCTTTAGTTTTTAACTACGTAATTCGGGTTTGTTGGCCCCTTCATGTCTATTTGCGCCGCGTGTTTATTTGTTGTGAAGTGGAGACAAGATTTAAATCTCTATGTAAGAGTAAAGCTTTTTATGCCTTCCTTCCCTCACCCTCCAGCTGCCCCGTCAACATGTCAGTTATGTACATAACGGGATCATTACCTAGTAAGCTCGTTTACTCGGCTCATTTATAAAGAGAAAAAAAAAACAGCGTATGAAGTAAAATGGCTAGCGACAAGGTCAGAGGCCGCCTTTATTAAAATTCAAAACTTCATTGTGTTAAGAAAATCAATATAAAATCAATATTAGCCCAGCAAAGGCAAAGGAACAAAAAACTCAAACCTTGTAGGATTTAGTAATACATGCTTCGATGTCTAACGAAGGTTCAACCCCTGTAGGGGGTATTATTAAAATTCACCATCTTTGAGCCCTATTTCGAATTCGAAAAACGCCATAAAAGCCCTTTTCGATAAGAAATATTCCATTTATGCCTCACGTGTTATAGTTAGATTATAGACAACTTCAATGATTTACAAACACAAATCAAACAAAGGTAACGATGCGTATATTAGTATATATAATACCAGCCATGTTTTAACAATTGAGTTTTGAGACTTAAAAAAAGGATAAGATTTGTCTATTAAAAAAATTTAATCATAATCATTGACTAAGCAATCGATACTCAAAACAATGCCCCTGTCTTTAAACCCAATAACTCAATTCAAGCGGGGTCCCCAGTCCTCAATAAGGCTGAGGAGCTCAGAGAATTTCATACTCTTGTTACACGACGCCTTATTGATGCAGCCACATTATCAAGTTGTAGTTCAGGTGCTTGGAGCACATCTATTAGATATGAAATTGTCTTCCCTTGGCTTCCTAACTTTTCAAGAAGTCGCTTTGTTGGACTTCCGTTTGGCCTCAGATACTCAGTCTTGAGGAACTTAAGGTCATGTCCTGAGATTCCTGCCGCGTTTCCCACTTTTACCCAGCCATACTCATTGTTGCCAGATCTGCTGTGTGGTACGTCCAACCTCTTTACCAAAATATCTTCCAGGTCTGGAGGAATTTCACATAAATTGAGGTCTGCAAACAAACATATTTCGATCATGGCCAGGTAGAGCTAAATCCCGAATGCGGGAAATTAACATATTTAGTTATATGAAACGGTTAATTTCACTGATTTATCTTCACTGGCTGTTATTATCCAAACCCTGACTTATCTTGTCGAAAGTAAGCCGCCAAGTGGCCACGACAAACGAATGAGGAAGTAACAAAATTTTTATTTGGTAAAATAACAAAATGAGACTAGAAAGCTTTACTAGCATTTAGAATTGCATAATGTTTTGATTCTCACCATCCCCAATCTGGATAGCCGCATTTTGATCCATCGGCTGTATAGTGACCTCCTCATCAGATTGATAGTCTATTTTGATAAATTAAAGGAGCATGTCAGTAATTGCTTAGGCTTCCTCTGATATACTAGAGTTAAATCTGCCGATTATTCTCCTTCGTTTTCCAAAAATTTGCAAGAGGACTCCAATGACAATGAACCACGTGCCGCTGGATGTCTGAGTGGATTTGAATGTATCCGAACCTTTCTCAAATTTAAATCGAGTTTAAAAAGCGAACCTCGCGTAACATTGTTTTCGCTGAAGTGAATGAAGTGGAAGGCGAAGTAAAAAATTAATGAGGTGGATGAAAATTAAAAGAATGAAAACTTTGAATTAACACTGACAATTGAAAAAAATTGAAATGTGAATCATTAAATAATAGTAAATTTCTTTCATATAATGAAAACGATAACTGGGTAACGAGAGGTTAATAGAAATTTTACGATAATTGTTAATGCCCAGGCGCAATTGACAGTTTGTATCAAGAAAATGGAAGAAATACCTCGAATTTGTGGTTCTTGAGGTTCTTCTTTTTCACTCAACTTTCTGTAACCTTTTTGTTGGCGACGAACACATCCTTTACCAACAAGGTACATAATAAGAGCTATTAAACCAAATACTACTAAGCCAGCAATTGTTCCCGAAAAACTGCTCAGAAAAGAGGCAGCACTTGGAACTATAGACTGCTCTATCACTGCTTTTGACGTCGGAGGTATGTTATTGGGCGTGGGTGGAGGAATCGCCCAAGCATTTTGTGCTGTTGACGGAGTCACACTTGGTGGGACAATTGCAGGGATACGACGTTTATTTTTCACCGCAGTATCGTTGTTAAAGGTTTTAATCCCTCTTTGATGTTCCGGCGTGAGTGGCACAGACTCCCCTACGTCACTGTTAGGTGCTTCAGGGGGAGGCACACGAGGTTTAAACGTTGTCACAACTAGCTGCTCTTTCTCTCTCTTCACAACCCCTCGAGGTTCGAGAATTTCTGGACTTGGGGTGTCAATGTTTTCTTTACCGCCTTCAAGAACGTTTGTGGGACTTAGCATTGATTGTAAAACCTGGAGGTCTTTCCCGTCGATATCCCTATCTAAAGCTGAATTAGACCTAACATACTTTGTTTCGCTGGGTGTATAAGTGTCATCGTAATTCTCTTGATGAATGTCCCGTTCACTTCTCTCTGAATGCGTAGGTTCTTCAATGTTAGTTTTAACTGTGCTCTCAATTTTTTTATTTACCTTTTGTTTGACTCTTTGTCGCCTGGTTAGTTTTAACACCGACGTTTTATTCCAAGGGGTTCTCATTGTTCTAGCAACTAACTTTTGTAACTTAAAACTGTGATATTTTTCTTGAATTGGTGTCACCTGGGAACAATTTCCAGGACATATCCTTGAGGTTAGACAATTCTTTTGTGCAACAGAATTTTCCTCGCAGCATAAAGAGCAAGGTTTACAAGTGTTGGTAGTTTCATCGTCATAGTGCATATAGGGGCACTCCCGGCACCTTGCGTTGGTTTCTATAGTACACGAACTCAGGACCTCTTTTGAGCCACAGTCTGTGCAGACTTTGCACGTTGCGCTGTCGGCTTTATCTGAGTAGGTACCTGCTTTGCATGGTACACAGTCGCCAACTGCCTTGCGAACCATTGTAGAGCCACATGGTGGCGAGGGCTCCTCTCCCGCAGGACATGTGGGGCATTCAATACATCTGACTCTATTTTTATTGTCATCAATTGTGTAGGTTTCTGGAGGACACTTGTCCAGTCCATCTGGATAGAACGCTGCGCTGGCGTTTTGCAGATCTTCCCATAGGGCCTTCGTCTGCATGTACAGAAAAGATGCATGTTTTGATGTTAGAACCAGGCTTCTTAGCCGTAAGCTGTAGCTTACATGCCTTTCCTTATAACTAGGGCATTATATTATCAGTTTAGATTCATGTGGTGGCCAGTCTAGTCAATTTACATGGTTTTTTTGGTACATGTGACAAATCAGTATGGGTAAAATTCATACTTGGTAGAATACATATAACGGCTTTGGCCTAGTTTGTGTTCATGTGTATTGTGGGTTTATGTTAAATCCAACCTTTACTGGCACAACGTTTGGTTTTGCTAAATAAACTACGGCCCGCGGCGGCCCAGTTCTGATTTTCCACAGATATTTGTCCAACGTTAAATTTACGCGCACGCACAGTAATGCATCGGGTATATGCGTGAAATATGGATGATGGTGTTTGAATCCGTTTACCCTTTTAATCATTTCAGTCCTTTGCAATCTATATATTCGTCTGTTTACAGAACCAGACAGCATTGGAGAGGAGAGAGGACTTTCATTCTTAAACGATATATTAAGTTATTTTCAAACCACAGTTTGAAAGTGAAAATATAAGTGGCCTAAGACAGACTGGTCCAGAAGTTAAATCTGCAGATTTCATTGCTGACACATGATCTAAAAAATGACCTACCCAAGTCAAGAAAACAAACCCAACGGTAACCAACAGCTTAAAGAGTTCTACATCCAAGTCCTCCATTTTTTGTTCGCGCTATGCTAAGCGGAAACTGCGTCGTAGTTTTAATCCTGCCATGGAAACAACTGATAACAATCATCATCATCATCATCATCATCATTACTATAATCCCCAAAATTAGATGGTTGGTGTAATTAATGGTAGCAGTACAGAATCTACTTGAAAAAGTGACACGAGAAACCGTGAATAGTATTGTCATCATGTCAGTATATCCTGCTTAATTAATTTTGAGTAGATAAACTCTGTCTTACCTCCAACATGTTTGTTTTCAGAAGACAGTAACAATTAATACGGTATTGTTAATACCAAACCACAAAGATGACATCATGATTGCAAACATATCCTACTTTACGTATAAGAAAAACAGTGTATGTACCCTTATTTCCCTTACAACGTAGCGTAAGTGGCTTCACAGCTTTAAAAGATACCACAGTTTTGTTTGTTCCTGCAGTACAAATTGAAACCCTAAAACTGCTTAATGTGGAAATTTCGTAAGTGTTGCGAGAAAGTGACGGCCTCTGGAAAAGAGAACTAGTTTTTCCCTCCTTACCTTTCAAGCGTGAAATTTGATCCCCTTCGTTGGGTAAGACTAATCTGTGGAACTGCAGACCGCGGAACCGGCGGAAACTACGGAAGCTTAAGAAATGACTGTTTCATTACAACTCCCTTTGGCTAACGTTATAAAATAATTAGTTGCAATTAGTTTTTTTCAATAACTGGGCGATTTCTCAGCCGCTGATTGGTCGAGAGCTATTGTCAATAACAGTACAGTCAGACCATGGAAAACTGTTGTCGATTTCGGTTCAGGATCACTGACCGAGGGCTCTGGTTCCGAAACAGAAAGTCCTCGAATACTACGTCAAGGTGTCCCTCAATGATGGTATCGATCACTGAAATTGATGTTCTTTATACTAATCTTACAGCCGAACATCAGTACCTCTTACGTTCATCATGTCCAGTCACCCCTTACCCACTAAACGAGCTTTTCCATTCAGCGTTGCCCTACGAATACGACGTATATGTTCCTCCAATTAACGAGACGTACAATCTCGGTCTCCTCAACCAGGAGATACAACGTGTTCATACTATCGCACACACTCACACAAGCGACTCACCCACACGTATCCCTCTAGTTGTCGGATACCACCCGGCCATTCGCTCAATATCGACTCTTTTTCACAAGCACATTTACATTCTCTCTCCTCCCAAGTTTGTGCTACTTTGTTTAAATCCATACCTCTCGTTACCTTGGTACGTACTAACAAGCCGGAAATTCTTTAAGTGGACTTCCCGTTCAGAGCCAGAGCTCTCGGTGAAATGTTATGGTGTTATAGACTTTCCAAAGTCCTCTATTTTTCCGCAGGATCATCGAGAACGAGCGCTATAGGCGGCCATCTTGACCGGGTCCGGCTTGAACTATACTTAAAGGGCGGGGGAAGGTTTGGGAACCCTGAGGCCCGCTCTCTCGGTGGTACATTTGAATCCACTTACAAAATGGCTGCCAGTGAAATTAAAGTGAGCGCTCGATCTCGACGATCTTACAAAAAAGGGGACTTTGAACAGTCTATCAATGTTATAATTGATTGTAACTAATTATTTCATCACTTTAACTAAAGGCAGTTGTAATAAAAACAGTCATTTCTTTGGGTTCCGCCGGTTAGGCGGTCTCCAGTTCCGCAGATTAGTCTTACCCCCCCTTTTTTTTTGTTTCTACTTAGTTCGCTTGTCCACGGGCTCGTTCTTAATGAAAAAGGTAAAGTGAGTTTCCAGAGTATTATATTGTTCAGTTCGATCATGGAGGGTCATCGTGCTCGATGCTCGAAGTAGTTCTTGATCGAGGGTCTGAATGGGGGGGGGGGGGGGGCCCCTTTCGTGGTTGGGTGAAAATTAGGGTTTTTTTGGGGGGGGTGGTGTAAAGTTTTTTATTTTTTGGGGTGGGGGGGTGAACTTTTTTTTTTTTTTGTGTGTGTTGGGAGGGGGTGGTTTGGGTTTGGTGGTGTTGTGTTTTTTTGTGGGTGGGGTGGGGGGGGGGGGGGGGGGGGGGTCCACTTGTCGGTTGTCGGTTAAAATTCAGTTACTTTGTCGGTAGTCAGTTAAAGTTTTCGATCTTTGTCGGTAGTGGGTTAAACTTTTTGATTTTTGTCGGTTGTTGGAAAATCTCAGTTCGTAAGTAAAAGCGCTTGTTAATTATTAATATTTTTTATGTATTTCACCCAGTTTCAAGACTTTGATCCCTAAGGAAGAGTAAAACTTGTAAGAATGCATCATTTTGATTGCACTTAAACTTCATTAACTCTTGTTTGTTTATGCAACATGATCGTTTATTTCACCATTGTTTGCCAAATGAATATCATGAGTACTGATAGAATCACCAAACCTTTTGTTGTAAATGCGAACTTGGTTCCACTGTCGACTACAGGGCACAGTAAAAAGTAGTAATTAATTTAATATAAATTATTATATAAATATAAATTGTTCTTAGGGAAAAACTGCAAGGGGTTACAGGCTGCACATCTATACCTTAAACCTTTAATGTTTTGGCTCTACAAGCATGTCCTTTGCCATATTTTCCTTTCTCAAAGAAATAACACTTTAACCCTCGGACGTACAAGGGGTGGGGGGGAGGGCGTGGATGCCACCCCCATAAGGTTTTTCTGGGATATTTCCAAGAGGATAAAACATCAACACTTAACGTTTTCAGTAGATGGTCGTGTATCACTCGCACGCATTTTGAGACAAGTTCAGCAGTGATGATCAGTTTCTATGGTTACGAAGTATGTTGGCATGATGTAATAAGTAGCAGGTGGTCAAGCCATTTTGAGAGAAAACGTATGTTTTTTTCCAACTTTTTTCAACAACAAAAGTAAATGTTGTGGTTAAAATCATGCAAAGTGCTTATTTATGTGTTATCATTCATGTCAAGCAATTACCATTTCTCCCTGTTTTAACCTGATTTCTAATTCTTGGTAAAATCCAAGATGGCGACCATTGTTGGTGACGTCACAGGCCTCCAGCAGCGCCACCATTCATAAAATATACCTCATCTTGTTAAGAAGATCAAAGGCTTTTCAGTGAAGGCAAAATCGCTTCGAAATACTGCAACATATCAAAAACTCTGGGGAGAGGCAGTGGCGGATCCAGGGGAGGGGCCTGGGCCTCTTATCTCAGGGTCTGGATGCGTCTTTACGTCAATGATAGCTTTTTCTCATTTTTCGTTGAATGTTGTGCCTTGGTATCCAACCGGGTCTTAAAGGATTGTCTCAGTGTCAGATATTTCGGTCGTAAATTTCATAGCCAGTAGAGCAGTAGGGTGAAGTAAGTCTACTTGTTCCGTGAATTTGAAGAAATCTACGATGTCTGGTTTACTTATGTCCTATAGGGAAAAAATATCATCTATGTAGCGTTTTCAAACAGTTGGTTTAAAGACGGTTTTGCTTAAACGTTGTGTTTCAATATTTGCGGCCATGAAAATGTTGGAAAGGAAACTGCTGTTTGTGCTCATCGCGGTACCGTGGTTTTGCCATTAAACTGGAAAGAACTGAAAGAACTTTTCGACCGAAACAAGAAACGTTCAGTTTTTTCACCTTTGTCTTTTCAATAAAATTTATTAAGTCAGGGTAGCATCTTTAAGGTGTGTCTTCTGTGATGATGATCAGTTAGTTGTAGTAATGTACCCGTATCAACAAAAGAGGAAGTTCTTTCTGTTAGACCATCTGATGAGTCATAAATTTAAAGAGGTTACTTCCTAACGGCTAGAAAAAAATGCAAAATGCTCTTTTTTCTGAAAACAAATATTGGTAATGTCAGCCCATGTCGGTAGTCGGTTAATTTTTTTCCCGTCGGTAGTCGGTAATTTTTTACTCGTTTTGTCGGTAGTCAGTAATATTTTTCGCCTTTTGTCGCTAGTCGGTTAACCCCATTCACACCCTCTTGATCATGCGTTCGACATTGCAACATGTGTGTTAAATTGAGCAGCATCACAACTTAACCATTTTTTTTAACATCTTCATTGTACTGAAAATGTTTTGTCAGCAGAAGAATCTTCCATTCAATTTATCCATCGTAATTTGATGACCTAGGACAATGTTTTTCTGTAATTTTGCATTTCATTCAAAAACTCATTAATAATTCATA